TTTTTTGGGGGTAGGGGACCATTTAATAGAATTTCCTCCTTCTCAGGGGAGAATTTAGTGGGGGTTTTTTTTGTAATTGCATTTTTTTTTGTAATTGTATTTTTTTTTTTTTTTACAGCATAGTGGTTCAATATTAACAGCACTTTGATTTTAAAATAAACACATGATTCTAAATCATCATTCCCTATCAAAAACAAAAGCAGGATAGAAAGAAGCTGGTTAGGAATTACTGTCCTACAATATAGAAAGAAATGGTACTTTTTAGTATTATCCACAGAAAGTTCTTACCTTTTGATAGCTACACTTTATGCATATAACACACTCACTTAATAAAATCAGAGTTAACAATAGTTTCTTAGACCAACCCAAACACTATGAGTCACAGGCACCTGGGCCGTGAGGTTAGTAGTATGTTGAAAATGGAGACATACAAGTCTACTATGATTTTATGTATTCCATGACAGAAACAGTATTTCCTGCATTTGGATTTTTTTAAAATTGAAGTAGAGTTGATATACAATATTATATTAGTTTCAGGTGTACAACATGGTGGTTCAGCATTTATATACTGCTGCACTGGATTCTGAACAAAAAGCATTTGCAAAGATACAATGTGCAATTTCACTGCCATGGTCATGGCTTATAGTTTTATAACTAGCTAATAACTAATTAACACTTGAATCTTTGGATGGCATGACCTGTGTAAAATTTTCTTTAAAGTATTATGCTTGACATTCAAGAAGGGTAGCTCTATGTCAAAAATACTCTTAGGAGGACATGACTTTACATGTAGTATAATTACCCTAGTTCCTTTGTGAGATACAGTGAGAGACAATTTGATTCTTTCCTTAAAAAATGCAAATAAATGTACAATCTACACCATAAGTAAATTATAAAACTGAATTTTTTCACATAAAAACTTTAGCCAAGGGCTTCCCTGGTGGCCAAGGGCTTCCCTGGTGGCGCAGTGGTTGAGAGTCCGCCTGCCGATGCAGGGGACACGGGTTTGTGCCCCGGTCTGGGAAGATTCCACATGCCGCGGAGTGGCTGGGCCCGTGAGCCATGGCCACTGAGCCTGCGCGTCCAGAGCCTGTGCTCCGCAACGGGAGAGGCCACAACAGTGAGAGGCCCGCGTACCGCAAAAAAAAAAAAAAATCCAAAAACCTTTAGCCAAAAAGTTAACACAACTTTTAAAAACTTACTAGCTTATAAAATATCAATTGTAGGGCTTCCCTGGTGGCGCAGCGGTTGAGAGTCCGCCTGCCGATGCAAGGGACACGGGTTCGTGCCCCGGTACGGGAAGATCACACATGCCGTGAAGCTGCTAGGCCCGTGAGCCATGGCCGCTGAGCCTGCGCGTCCGGAGCCTGTGCTCCACAACGGGAGAAGCCACAACAGTGAGAGGCCCGCGTACGGCAAAAAAAATAAAAAAATATAAATATAAATATATATATATATATATATATATATATATATATCAAATGTATTGTGTCAAACATGAAAACCACTGTGTTTCTATATTAAAAAACCTAGTCAGGTAATCAAGAACACTCATGATACTCTGTCCTGCCATGGCAAAAACGTTGGAAGTATTTGTTGGTGCTCTCAAAAATATTCAGAGGTATACAAATTGAGCCAACTGAAGATCATCCTTTCAGTATTAAAGGACATTAGAGTTGCTAGGGGGAAGTTAACAGTAGCAGATAACTCTTGTTCTAGAATATAGTATGAAATTTCTGGCCTTGCTCTCATTTGCACAAGGTTAGGAATCAAGGAGGAGAGGAGGTTAGAGAAACAAAATGCATAAAATCTCAGATATAAGAAAATGACACAGGGGCCTACATATAACCATCACTGCTATCTGGAGCTATGCATACACCTTGATTACATGCTAATATAGCCCTTCAAAGACTTTTGGGACCCTGTGTTTCTCTAAGTATCCTCTGCCACACATAAGTTTGAGAGGTGTGTGCCAAATTGGGTTTATTTATAGTACCTGTAATCTTTTTAGGACCAGTCCAACTCTAAAATACAGTGACTCTAGCAAATTTAGTAAGTTATCTAGTTGTGGCCTTAAAAATCTGGGATATACTGGCATTTACACGGTCTTCATCCTTGTCTGTGGAAGACATCCAATAGACCTTCACCCAGTCTATAGCTTAAATGACTGAACTTTTTAAACTACAGTCAGTGAAAACCAAATTTTAATCCCTGTATCAAAAATTTCTGGTGGAACTGCATACCATTTTAACTTATATTATGCAGTATACTCCATTCTGTGAAGAACATCAATTTATTGAATCTAATTTTCACTTTAGTGTTAAAAAGAGCAAATATGGAAGCTAAACAGAACAGAAATCTTCAAGGTAGGTCAGTCACACATAGGAATTAACAAGTAACCTGGTTTTATTTTGATATCTGTCTCTAATTCACCAAGTCAATTTACATAAGTTACTATTTCTACTCAAAAAAGAGCATAATTTCTACTGACTTTGTTTTAATGATACTATGATCGTCAAATGAATCTTAAAGGACATGAAAGAGTACTTAGGATCCATTTGAATTTTGAAATAGGTATTATGCTGAAGAGATGTAAAATCTACTCTTTTAAATATTTATTTATTTTTGGCTGTGTTGGGTCTTCGTTGCTGTGCATGGGCTTTCTCTAGTTGCACGAGCAAGGGGTACTCTTCATTGTGGTGCGTGGGCTTCTCATTGCGGTGGCTTCTCTTGTTGCAGAGCACTGGCTCTAGGTGCGTGGGCTTCAGTAGTTGTGTCTCGCGGGCTCTAGAGTGCAGGCTCAGGGGTTGTGGTGCATGGGCTTAGTTGCTCCATGGCATGTGGGATCTTCCCGGACCAGACGTGAACCTCTGTCCCCTGCATTGGCAGGCGGATTCTTAACCACCAGGAAAGCCCCACAATCTAGAGGTAATTCTTCCTATTTAATCTTTCTAGTAGCAACTATAATTATGCTAATTTAAGACAATTAACTGATATTAAAGGGCTAAATCCTTAGGAAATAGGGTTGATTTCTACATCTTTTCTAATCGATACTTTGTTTGCCTTAGTTTTCTCAGGTTTGTAGAATTCTTTTACAATAATTCCCAATTTTTTTCAAATAAGAAATACTATGCCTTATTTTACAAAGCATAGTTTTATCTTGAGAATGAAATGAACTTAGAGATGATAATAAGTAGGGCCTTTCCGACATATAAATACAGGATGTTAAAAATAGTAGTTTTCATTCTAACATCTAGAAGACCATCAAGTCACCAAATACAAAGCTTAGATATTTGTGTGGTTATGCATTTATTTTCTCATCAGTTATACTAATTCAGATACCTTAATGGAAGCATCCAGCTTTTCAACTTGTTATCACTAGAAACAATTTTAAGCCTCAGTTGATATTTCAGTTTAAGCCCTTTCTGATTTATCAAAGCCTGAAACACCAAGACATCATCAAGATTCCAGAACTCAGTTTAGAACTTCTAAAACTAACATTTTTAAGATCTTTTTGTACCCAATATTTAAAACAGTCTCATTCATATGCTGGCAAACTAGGTCGCAAATGAGACAGCTGAAAATACTGCATCTTTAAAAACATTTAGATTATAGTTGTCATGATTAAAGGGAATAAATCCAAAGGGATTTAGCCATTATAATATCAATTACTAGTAGTCAAGGTCATGCTACAGCCCCAAGAGGAAAATTAAAGTCTGAAACTCATTTGACTAGAGAAACATGGTAGAATTCTAAAGGCACCAACCTGTTAATTTAGGAGGATTCTGAATACTACATAATAATACAACACCAGTTTCAGACAATGAAAACAACTAAATGATCCCCCCAAAGCAAAACATATCCACTATGCTATTTATAATTGCTTAACAGAAAGTTTTCAGAAATGTTTAAGAAATTGACTCTGCAGTGATAAAACTATCATATCTTTACTGTCAGAAAGTAGAGCTATTTACATACATTAAAAAAAAAGACTAACAAAGAGACAGAGAGAGAGACAGAATCCAACCCAAGTTAAAAACAAAACAAAACAGGGATTTCCCTGGCCGCCCAGTAGTTAAGACTCTGTGCTTCCAATGCAGGGGGTGCAGGTACGACCTCTGGTTGGGGAACGAAGATTCCACATGCCAGCGCTGTGTGGCCAAAAAAACCCCCACAAAAAGCAAAAAACAAAACCAAACCTGTATCTTCTCTGGAAGAAGACTAAGTGGCTGAAAAAGTCAGAGAATCAACTTAATGCCACATTACTGCAAACTATCAATATTAAAATTTGGGAAAATTTCCCCCCAAATTACAATCAATAAGAATATGCCACGATACAACTGCTTAAAATTGTATAATGCATGATAAACTTTATCATAAGAGCACAATCACAAACTGATAAAACAATGATATTAGTAGAGAAGTTAACAAAAGTGACCGTAAATAGTTACTTGCAGTATCCCTTTTCTTGATTTATTAACTTAGCAACTTTCATCAGTTTTGGTAAATTTTTATTATGGTACAAACTAAACAAAAAACCCAAAGTACAAAAACAAAATTTCATATTATAGTATATATTTTATTCTTTCAAATAACAATATCTATGTTTTATTTTAGATAATTGAGGCTAAAAAAAGTCATATAACTCACATGCCATATTAATAAAGCCAATTTTACCTATAGTGCCGATAAAAAATACCCAATTTAATAGAAATAAAATAGTGCTTGAGAAATCACAAAAGAAACTAAAACCAAAAAATCCTAACTGAATATACTTTGATGGTATATATTCATTCTCATATAGATGTATTTACATATATATCAAAGTAAATTTTTATGGTCTCTATTTTTTCATTACCTATAGCATTATAACTTATCAAAATAAAATCCATAATAGGGCTGTCATATTTAAAGTCATTAGTACTCATTACCTGAGACTGGAGTGCCAGAAAAGGGATAGTGCATTTCTATGCCATATGAAGTCTTGAATAAATACAAACCCTGATAAAAAGAAAGCAGCATGCCAGAGATCTCTGAAGACAGCGCCAACGCTGTAAGCGGTGCTTGTACCGTGGCTCTGAACTGCTCCCTCCTGTGTGTTATCTGTGGTACTAGAACCATCTCCTTCCCTATGTACTTCCAAATGGGCTGCTTTTCTTAATTTCCTTCATTAGAAGAGATTAAGAGTGGAAGGTAGCTTTAAAATTTTAACAACCACTTTCTCGGTAGTACATTTAAAAATTTGCCAAACATAAACACAGGAACTTTAATACATAGTAAAATTCAGATTGCTGGATAAAAGTTATGCCAAATATTAAGTATATATTCAAGACCAATTTCTATAAATGTTAAGGTATTGTTCCTTGCTCATACTGACAGGTCAGTGGACAGGTTGTAAGGACACCATTGGACAGATATTTACAAAAGCATTCCTTCCCTATTTGAATGCCACCTACTGGCAGATGAAGAAAAAATTTAAATTGGAGAGAATTGTAATCTGTGTGATCAGCAGTGCTATTTATCTAATGAGGTATTATTTTTTATCAAAATAAAGAGGGCTTAAATCTCAATATCCCAAAACTGCAAATATCACAATCTCTTAGGAACAATATTCAAAAGAGGAATTGCTCCCAAAGACCCTTAAAACAGAACTCCATTGTGCTTAGCGGCCAGTAAGACTTGCTATGCTTACTTAGTCAAAGGGCAATATTAAACAGCTTCAAATGACATTTAATAAATGGAATTTAGCTGAAAAATTTCCCTGACTTTTGTTTTTGCCAAAGTACAAGACTTTGTAAACAGTGGGAATTATTAGCAATGCCAGCTAATGTGTATTCCCTACATTGATATTAAGTGCCTCAGCAATGAGCTTCAAGAAAGAAAACAAAAACAAAAACAAAAACAAAAACAGGTATGGGGTCTCAAAATGACTCTGAAGCAAATAACAGAAACTAAATCATTCAGTAGCTTATTCTGAAGCTCACTGCTTTATTTTAAAAAGCAACTTTACAAGATAACACTTTATTCAAGTCAAGAACAAGCCTGGATCCAAATTACAAAAATCTACAAAAAGATCACTTTTAAACAGACAGTACCTTCTCCTTTTACCTCCTGTACTTAGCGGAGGTTTAGGTGTTCTCGTTGAAACAATCTGGCAGTGCACAGTTCCCAGGAGCAGCATCAGCCATATCGGCCCAATCACTTCCGTCAGAGGTATGCTATGTGGGCTAGAAGCGGAACAGAATAGTACTATTGCGGCAACTATAAAAAGGGAAAGAAAATACATTTAATTATAGATCTGACAGTCACTTCCTCAAAACTTTAAAAATTGCTCTAACATTGTTCTTTGCCAGATAATTTTTCTAAATTTAAATAAGTCTAGAAGTTACTCCAGACAAGCTCTTTCAGACTATTTTGTTTGCCCCTGGCTAACCATGCCATTCAGAAATAAATTCTCAGAACAGGGTAACAGCCAACATGATCTCTAAAGTACACAACTTAATACTTCAATGAAAACTAGATACATAAATCTAAAGACATTCTTGGTAAGATCACAGACACCCTCCTCAGTTTAGAGGAAACGGGGGGCATATAAAGAAATAATTAAAACACCTGTAATGGACTGAATTGTGCCTCCCACCTCCATTCCAAATGTTGAAGTCCTGACCCCCAATGTGATTATCTTAGCAGATAGGGCCTATATGATGTAATAAAAGTTGAATGAAATCATAAGGGTAGGGCCTTAATCCAAAAGGACCAGTGTCCCTATAAGAGAAAGAGATACCAGAAATCTCTCCCAGCTCATGCACAGAAGAAAGGCTATGTGAGGATATGGCAAGAAGGTGGCCGTCTACAAGTCAGGAAAAGAAACCTCCAACAGACACCAATCCTGACAGCACCTTGATCTTGGACCTCCAGAACTGTGAGAAAATAAATTTCTGTTGTTTAAGTCCCCCAGTCTGTAGTATTTTGTTATAGTAGCCTGAGTAGACTAAAAAAGTATGATAGGAAAGATATGTAATTAAACTGGAGGTTTATGAAGGAATTCTGATGACTAACTCTCAGAGCTAATGTAACTCTGAGAGAATAAGTAGTTGACCAAGTACGTAAAAGGAAAAAAGGGCTACCCAGGCAAAGAGAGTTACCCCAAAAGCATATAGGTTACAAAAAAAAAGGCATAGAATGTTTAAGAAAGAGTAAAGAGCTAATTTAGTCTGGTTAAAATTGGGGAGAAATTCAATAAGAGACTGACTGAAAACTTGGCTTTTTATCTTGAAGGCAATGATAATTAGGAAAATTTAGAACTTAAGAGGCTGGTTTGGATTTGTAATTCAGGACAGAAGGTAAAAGACATAAGGGCATGACAGAAGCCAGAAGTAGGGATGGAGCTGAGAATACATAGTTGAGATACTTAAAAGGCACGTGACTGAAGTGAAAAACTGTAAGTAATTATATAAACCCAGTCTGACTGCAAATGATTCTTCTACTCTTCAGGAGATGAAGGTGGGATAGAGAATGAGGACATAACTCAGAGCACTATACCCTACTCAACATGCAAGGAGGTGGAAGCACAGGGGTTTCTAAAGGCACTAGCAGACTGCTGAGGGTCATTAGGGTCATATCACAGCTTTGTCACTGGCTACGTAACTTGGAACAGGTTAAGTCACTTTTTACTTTTAATATTTATTTATTTAGGCTGCACCTGGTCTTAGTTGTGGTACACGGGATCTTTGCTGCGGCATGTAGGCTCTTTAGTTGCGGCATGCGGGATTTTTAGTTGCAGCACCCAGGCTCTTTTTTTTGTCATTGTTGTTATGGCATGCAGGCTCTTAGTTGCAGCATGCGGCATCTAGTTCCCTGACCAGGGTTCGAACCCGGGCCCCCTGCATTGGGAGTGCAGAGTCTTAACCATTGGACAACCAGGGAAGTCCCCAGGTCACTTTTTAAACTAAGCTTTGCTAGGAGAGTGTTCAGTGTTCAATCCTTATACACACTAATAATGTTAAACTTCGGTTTGGAACTGAAAATACCTCTTTTTCATGCCTGATCTAAGCTGTGTTCCCTAACCGTAACCCTATTTAATTTAGGCAAGCCAGTAAGTGAATTTCAGCCACAGTATGTGAACTACTTACACTGCAAACTTGTTTGCCTTCAAATACTAGAAAGCAACAGTATCAAAAAAAGCACAATGAACAGTGGTTACAATGAATGGTATTGATTAATTATCACTCTCATAAGCAATTGCAATTTCTGACCACTTTAGAACAAAGTGTTCTCCTCTAGGTAAACTAGATAGCCTTAGAAGATAACTACAAGTTCACTCCCTCTTATGTATATAAGATATACCCTGGCTTAAAAAAAACAACTTTACCTAAATAGAAGTCTTTCATTTTTATTGTATTTTCTTTTACTTAAAAGATATTATCTTTTACTTAGCGTTTGTTGATAAAACATTTAAATAATCATTCAGGATTATGATTGTGTTTTTTTAAAAAAAATAAAAGACATTAAAGAGACTGAAAGGGTACCACCAAACTAAAATCGTTGCTTTGTTAGAGCGATGGAATGTGAGCGGCCTCTTCTTTTAGGCTGCAAGCGCTCAGGAGCGCTGGGCATTTTGCGCTGCAGGCTGCTGTGATAGGAGGCAGAGTCCCAGAGGTGTGACGCATGTGGCTCGAGGTCCAACTGCCTGGGCTCGACCTGGGCTCTGCTACCCTTGGTGACTGTGTGGCTTTGGGCCCTTGGGTCCTTCAGGTCCTGTGTCTATAAGCTAGGCATAATAATAGTACCCATTCTTCACTGGGTTGTTGTGAGTATTAAGTGAGTGTCTGTGAAATGCACTTAGAACAGTACATGGCACGTAGAATTTCAATACAGAATGAGGACAGTCTCAGAATACAAAGGTTAAGAGGAAAAACAAAAACACTGCTGAGAAAGGAAAAATGAACTTCAAGGCTGCATAAAAAAAAGACTGGTGTGCAGTCAGAATGGCCATCATCAAAAAATCTACAAACAATAAATGCTGGAGAGGGTGTGCAGAAAAGGGAACCCTCTTGCACTGTTGGTGGGAATGTAAATTGATACAACCACTATGGAGAACAGTATGGAGGTTCCTTAAAAAACTAAAAATAGAACTACCATATGACCCAGCAATCCCACTACTGGGCATATATCCTGAGAACACCATAATTCAAAAAGAGTCATGTACCACAATGTTCACTGCAGCTTTATTTACAATTGCCAGGACATGGAAGCAACCTAAGTGTCCATCGACAGATGAATGGATAAAGAAGATGTGGCACATACATACAATGGAATATTACTCAGCCATAAAAAGAAACGAAATTGAGTTATTTGTAGTGAGATGGATGGACCTAGAGTCTGTCATACAGAGTGAAGTAAGTCCAAAAGAGAAAAACAAATACCGTATGCTAACACATATATATGGAATCCCAAAAAAAAAATAAAAGGTCATGAAGAACCTAGGGGCAGGATGGGAGTAAAGACACAGACCTACTAGAGAATGGACTTGAGGACACGGGGAGGGGGAAGGGGAAGCTGGGATGAAGTGAGAGAGTGGCATGGACATATATACACTACCAAATGTAAAACTGATAGCTGGTGGGAGGCAGCCACATAGCACAGGGAGATCAGCTCGGTGCTCTGTGACCACCTAGAGAGGTGGGATAGGGAGGGTGGGAGGGAAGGAGACGCAAGAGGGAGGAGATATGGGGATATACGTATATGTATAGCTGATTCACTTTGTTATACAGCAGAAACTAACACACCATTGTAAAGCAATTATACTCCAATAAAGATGTTTAAAAAAAAAAAAGACTGGTGTGTATGTATATGTTGGGCTGCATTTGGAAGAGACTGTAATTTTTAAAAATCCTCTCAATTTGTATTTTTCTTTAGCCATCCACAGATTCAAATTTTCATAAAGTTATTTTGGAAAACAACTGCTTTGTTTTCTCCAACATTTTAAATACCAAACTAGTTGTGTCTTATTAAATGAAATAGCACAATAAATGTTTATTTTCATACTCAGTAGTAGTTAGTGTATGTTAGAAATAAAAAAGCCTTAGTAATCCTAAGAACAAAATATGCTGAAAGTTAAAAGCAAAATGCATTTCTATCAATTATACCTTGAAGAAGATAAAGGACTAGAAGCCAGAAAAAGATGACTTTTGATGTTACTTGTAACCACCACCGGAAGAAAAAGGGAAAAAATACAACGCGAACAATTCCCTTTCTAGTCAGAGAAGTCCATGGACTTTCAGGTTTTGCCTTAGCAAATGCAGACCCTGAGAAAAGTAACAAAATGACAGAGAACATTTATTACTCTTTAATTTCCTTAAAGAAAAAATTTCAACATTTGAAGAATAAAACATGAAATTTTATTTTGTACTATGAGTGGGAAATGTCCAATTTTGGATAGGAGACACTTTTAAAAACATTATTCATGTATCATATTAACTCAGGTACTTTGAAAAAAAACCATTTTTAACTGAATAACAGCAATATTTCTCCCACATATTTTATAAATACAAGACAATGTTCAAATGTCAGTTCAGTTAGGAATTAAAATTACCACTTTAATTTTTATAACAAGCCTTATAGTTTGCCTGGCAAATATGAGCTGCTTTTCTTTTACACTTATTAGTTCTTGGAATGATTCTTAGTGGGAGAAAAGACTAGCCAGTGGTATTTAAATGCTTCCATCCTCTCTTTTTTTCATACTATTTCTGACTTCATTTAGACTCACACTGCTTCTATTTCTACAAACATATATATCTAACCCATTTTGAATTCTGTTTCTTCAAGGTCAATTTCTAACTTCATTAAACATTTGTTTATTCAAGACTCACCTCTTACAAGATCGACATCTATGAGATCTGGTTTCACATGTGCTGTTTTCTTTGGTTTATTCCTTAACCCCTGTAATATATTAAAAGTAGTACTGATAAGAGAGTAGATCTTTAAAGTCCTCATCACAAGGAAAGAAAAATTGTAACTATGTATGGGGACAATTATTTAAACTAGATTTACTGTGCGGATCATTTCTCAATGTATAAAATATCGGATTATTATGGTTTACACCTGAAACTAATATGTCAATTATAACTCAATAAAAATGTAGTATTGATATTCATTATATATACATATATTTTTAAAACCCAGAATCAACGCTTAAAAATTTCAATTAAAAAGGAAAACTTTAAGTAATATAATGGACAAAAACTAATACTTTATATATTTGTTACAAAGGGAACACAACTGTAGTATTATAATAAATTTTATTACCTTCCCAAAGGATAAATTTAGGCACATATGCAACATGTCAGGCCTATTTATTACTAAAAGCATAATTCTAAAACAAAGACTACTGCTACCAATCAATTTGGATTACAGCCTGAGATGGTCCAGGAGACTGTGGTGCCCCAGTTTTGCACAGGAAGTGTTGAAGCTGGCTAGGAGAGCAGTGGCCCTCAAGGGCCCTTAAGGTGTGATGCTGGGGGCATTCCTGCAGAAAGCAGTGGATCACAGCGCTGAGAACAGACAGGGATGCAGACTTCTTAGCAGATGCCAGCATGTAGGGGTGAGACCCAGAGAGGATGATGCACATCTCATGGTTGCCACTATTTTCACATGCCAACCACTAACCAGACCACAATGCAACCTTATCACCTCATAACTTAGATGCCATGCCCAATAGGAGGAGGAGGGAGAAGACAGAAACCATGAATTGAATTAGTTTCAACTTGGAATTATTGAACACTAAGATTAAGTTTCTGCCATCAGTGTACAGAGTTAGAGTAGGGGTAGAGATCAAAATCAATGAAAAAACTAACAAAAAATAAATTACACTTTATTTATTTATTTAGCGATACGCGGGCCTCTCACTGTTGTGGCCTCTCCCGTTGCGGAGCACAGGATCCGGACGCGCAGGCTCAGTGGCCATGGCTCACGGGCCCAGCCGCTCTGCGGCATGTGGGATCTTCCCGGACCGGGGCACGAACCCGTGTCCCCTGCATCGGCAGGCGGACTCTCAACCACTGTGCCAGCAGGGAAGCCCTATATTACACTTTATAACTTAAGACCAGTATGTTAAGAATTGGAGGAGCTTAGGTTAAACTCCTTGGAATGCAAGTGCTGAGCGATGACACAGTGTTTCAATGATTTGCTTATTGTTCATTCAATCAACCAAGTAACCTGGTTGTTTAGTCCTAATCCAAGTAACAATGACCCCTTAAATTAAAAATTTGATCAAGTACTGCTTTTATCTAAAACAAAGAATAAGACAGCATTTGAGCTCAGAATTAACTGAGAATTAACTGAGATGTTTAAACCAAAAATGTACCCTGAAATCAAGATGCAATTGACCTCTGAACTCCTTCAAATAGTCTGTCCATGTGAAGTTGCAAACTACCCAGATATAAAAACAAAAGAGAAAGAAGGGTGAGGGTTGAAGACATAGCCATGATGATCTTATATACAGTCAATCCTCATATTCATAGATTCCATATTTGCAAATTCACCTATTCACTAAAATTTATTGGTCCCTAAAATCAATACTTGCTGTGATTTTGCAGTCATTTGTAGCTATGCATAGCGTAAGAGTGGCAAAAAATTTGAGTCACTCAATGTTCACATTTCCAGCTGAGGTCAAACAAGGCAACACTCTGCCTTCTTGTTTCAGCTCTCTTGTTTCAGTTCCTTTTCACAGTCTATTTAATGTCAAATCTTTTGCATTTTTTGTATTTTGTCGGTAATTTTGTGGTTTAAAATGGTCCCCTAGATAGTGTTGACATGCGGTCCAGTGTTCCTGCGTACAAGAAGGCTGTGACGTGCCTCACTGAGAAAATGTGTTAGGTAAGCTCTATTCAGGCATGAGCTGTTGGCCATGAGTTCAATGTTAATGGATCAACAACATATATTAAATAAGTTCTCATAAAACAAGGTTATGTATTGATCAGTTGACCAAAGTGTTGTAACTAGGGACTCGCAGGAACTTAACTCTGTATTTCTCCTAAGAGCAACAGTCAATATTCACTAATTCAGTGTTCATGGCGACTTGAAAGAACATAACTACTGCAAATAATAAGAAACAACTCTATCTGTACTTCATTTCCCATTTTAATGTCATGACAGAGTGGCTGATAGACTATAAATCATTCCCAATATTTTGCAAATTGGAAAGGCAATACTAATAATATATTTAAACAAAAATGCATTAATCAAGCACTATTCAAATTTGGCATCAAGTTTATTATGATATTTTACCTTTATTAATGCCAACAAATTTGAAAACAGTAACATATTTTAATTTACCTCTGTCTTTTATGTATTATTTTTCTAGCACTTTGAAAATAACCTTACTGCCAATGTTTATAACAAATCTGAAGCTTAATTTACTGCTGTATACCTAGAATTTTCATCAAGATTGTTTAAAAAACTTAAAGCCCTTATAAAAGGAACAGTAAATTGTTTTGATTTATGCAATTATGTTGTTTTTCAACATGCTCATTCTACTTGACCTTTTTAATATGTGGTTCATTTCCTATTTTATGTTTTATTAAAACATTTATTTTGAGCTACATTGTAGTCATAGCATAACTGCCAACTTCGACAAAACTTCCCCCTCAAGGTAGCCTATCAGAATATGTAAAAGGTTTAAAGAAAGATAAAGTTCACTGACAAATCTTCTAACATTAGTGAGTTTATTCACAAAAATAAAATATATTAGGGCCAAGGTGTCAGCCTTCATAAAAGGTGATTTTAATTAAGTAGATATTTTAAGTTGGACAATTTTTAAATTGGTTTAAACTACGTTCACACAAAACAGCATAGCTTTTAGTACTAAATATAATTATGAACCTTCAAGAAATTTGAGTGAACAAACAAAAACGGAAAACTAACTTAGTTTCAGAAAAAGATTTTTTAAACTACTGGTTTAACTAGAAAGTAGAAATTATCAAGTACTGGGCTTCCCTGGTGGTGCAGTGGTTGAGAGTCCGCCTGCCGATGCAGGGGACACGGGTTCGTGCCCCGGTCCGGGAAGATCCCAGGTGCCACGGAGCGGCTGGGCCCGTGAGCCATGGTCGCTGAGCCTGCGCGTCCGGAGCCTGTGCTCCACAACAGGAGAGACCACAACAGTGAGAGGCCCGCGTACCCCCAAAAAATAAATAAATAAATAAAAATTATCAAGTACTATGAATACAATTAATCTCCAAGAATCCAAGTAATATATTCTTTACTGAATATACACTTACACTCCTATAGTACATTCCTAAAAGGCAATGACACAAATAGTATGAAGTTTTGAATTTTTAAAAATATCTAAGCACACAGATAATGTTGAGCCAAAAAGCTTACAAGTTCTGTTTAAGTTTAGAAAATACTTCTGGTCAACGATCCAGACTTCACATGCATGGAACTATTATAATACGTAGATTCTATCAAAGGACATAACCATCAGTTTCACTTTCCGGAAATCCTGTTTAGTTTCTCCCAACACTTTTTTCCTTTACCATGACTTTAAATAACATAGTTTGTTTTGTTGAAGCTTTACAACTCTAGTATGTACTAAAACACAGGGAAAGTCCACATTTACTTTTAAATTTGGGTCAAGGTGATCAGAAAACTACAGTTTTCAGTTATAATTTCTAAAACGTTTAAGAAAACATCACTTGCAACTCAGAAAAGACTTTACTTTAGCAATATCAACTAGGGTCTTTAATATAAAAAAAATTTCCAAGAAATATATTTTCATGGCTTTCTTTGATTTCTTTAGTTGTTGCTCACTGCTTTGACAGATAATAAAAGAATCGATTACCTAAAAGGACAAACTCAATACGTTTGTTAGTGTTCTCTATGCAACAGGTACAGTGTTTTTGTTCTTTTAAATCAAATATTAACATTAATACACCACAGTTACGCACTTCTCTACCTTCCTTAGAATAAATACAAAATTATTTTACACTATAATTTGCTTCCACTAGAATGTTTAACAAAAATGTTACGCTTGTCAACACATTAACCTTTTCAATTAAAAATAACAAAAGTAAGTTGTTGTTTTTTTTTGTGGTACGCGGGCCTCTCACTGTTGTGGCCTCTCCCATTGCGGAGCACAGGCTCCGGACGCGCAGGCTCAGCGGCCATGGCTCACGGGCCCAGCCGCTCCGCGGCATCTGGGATCCTCCTGGACCAGGGCACGAACCCGTGTCCCCTGCATCGGTAGGCGGACTCTCAACCACTGCACCACCAGGGAAGCCCAAAAGTAAGTTTTAATACTGTTTTTAGTTCTTCAATTACTATTACAAAGTATATATATATATTTATATTTTGGGGAGGGGGTTAAATTTCAAAAAACATCCTAATGTGCCAACTGGTAACACAATCTCTCAAGGTACTTAACACTCCCTGTCCAACAAGTTAAAGACTGTCAAAGAAAATAAAAGATTTCAAGGCATCTTACTAGACCTCTCTGCTGCCCTTTATTTAACTTTTCCAGCTCTTCGTGATAGTCTCAGACCATTGTCTCATGGGTCTCTCACTTCTCTTTCCTCCTTCACTTACATCTTTTTTTAACCTATCCATTAAATGTTGTTTCCCAGTGTTCTGTTCTCAGCCTTTTTCTCTCATCATTCAATGTAAATCCACTCACTCCTATAGCTGTATCTGTATAATGTGTATAATACATAAAATACCCATATATATATGGGTAGATGAAATACATAATTACAAATGAGATAAATTCAATTAAGAGAGGGATGTATAGTTCTCTATTGGGATGCAAAGTGGGGAAGCAGCCCTGGGGAGGTTAGGAAAGATTTCACAGAGGAAGTTACTCATGAGCTGAGCTTGACAGACATTAGAGAGAATGAGGAAAACATGCCAGACAGAATGTTTTACACACACACACACACTCTCTCTCTCTCTCTCTCTCTCTCCATATTGAGGACTCCCCAGTCTCTCTCCCAAGTATCACCTGGATAATTCTGAAACAGAATTCTGTATCTGCTCCTCTTCTAATATTTCCCACCATACTTAGCGCTGCCTTAGTGAAGTTGTTGAAATAGAAATTTAATCAGGTAACTTTTTCTGCTTAAAAATCCTTCAATGTCTCTCCCATTGTTTTCCAGATTATGCCTAGACTCTAGGGTAAAGCAGTTAAGCCCCTTCAAGATCTGACTTCCATATCCTTTCATGTTTTACTCCTAATCACTCTTAATCACCCTCCTCCACCCAACCTATTAGCATCAAGTTCCTTGAGGATTCTGAGTCAGGCATGCTCCTTCCTTCCTTCATGTATATCTTCATATGGTCTTCATTCTGTCTGGAATGTATTCCTCATTCTAATGTCTGTCAAACTCAGCTCATGAGTCACTTCCTCTGTGAAATCTTTCCTAACCTCCCCAGGGCTGCTTCCCCACTTTGCATCCCAAGAGAGAACTACACATCCCTCTCTCTCTCTCTCTCTTTTTTTTTTTTTGTTGTACGCGGGCCTCTCACCGCTGTGGCCTCTCCCGCTTCAGAGCACAGGCTCCGGACGCGCAGGCTCCGCGGCCATGGCTCACGGGCCCAGCCGCCCCGCGGCATGTGGGATCCTCCCGGACCGGGGCACGAACCCTTGTCCCCTGCATCGGTAGGCGGACTCTCAACCACTGCGCCACCAGGGAAGCCCCACATCCCTCTCTTAATTGAACTGATCTCATTTGTAATTATGTATCTCATCTAAAACATTATAATCTATTTTATCTTTCTGTCCCCATGATTTAATCCTATACTTAAGACATAGTAGGTGGTGCTCACTGCAACTTTGTTAACTGTATTACTTCTTCATGTAAATAGTTCAAAATTAAAATTAACAAATGGCAAAGAATCTTCCTCTTCATTATAGATGATTAAGTTGTCTAAACACTGAAATTTTTAAGTAACTATAGACACTGGTTTTCAATCTAATATAAACCTTTCTCCACAAAATATAAACTGTCAAGCAACTAAAGTAACATTCTCTGGGCCAATATTAAGTTTAGCTCGTGCAGGAACACACTGGTTAGTATCATCTATGCAAATGAAAAATATAAATCTTATTACTGAAAAGGTGTGACTGCTGAGAAACAGAACAAATTTAGTTAAAAAATAGTTTCCATGTTAGCAAGGTAGCCTATGAGAATGTCTTATCAGCGTTAAATGATTACATGTCCAAGAAGAAACTATGAACTACGAAAACATTTCAATTAATGCTTTACTTTCCTAAATTCTTTCAAAAAATGACCAACTTTTCAGCGACTCTATTTGCGTCCAAATCATTCTGTTAGTAGCACCAAAAAGCAGATCTCAATTAAACAGAGCAGCGTTTGCACAGGATCACTCAGGCGGGAAAAATCCTGAAACACTTACCAGTTTAATAAACTGTACAGAGCAATGACAGCATCAAAAGGGAGGAAAAGCAAACTAGAAGTATAAGGTGACAAGTGAAAGGGGAAAAGAGCTGACAAAAAGTAATCATTAGAAATTAAATTGTAAAAGAACAGAAAGATGCTAAAGAGCAAAAAGAGAAAAATCATCAGAGGTAAAGACACATGAATATGCCCTCATAAAAGAGTTTACCTCTTTATTTAAATTTTGGATAGCATAAGTAATATTAATTTGTACCTTTAAAGGTCGACAGAAAGATATTAAATAAACTGTGGTTAATAATCAATTTATAGAATATACAAAATGAAATAAACTTGTTACCTTGATTTCTCTTTGTTCAACAGATTTTTCCCATATTTGTTGATCATATGCTCCAATCTATGAAAATAAATTAAAAATAATACTACATTAAATGATCATTGTTGGAACCCATCCAACAGGTATAACTCTGTTGAATTACAAGCAACTTAATGTTTATTCAGCGCAGATTAGATCCAGCTCTGTCTCAGACTTCTGTGATCAATACTGTATGGCAGTGGTTCTCAAAGTATGCTTGCAGGACCTGCAGTTTTAGCATGTTCTTGAAACTTGATAGAAATGGCAACTCTCTGGTTTCAGCCCAGAATTACTCAATCAGAAATAGGGATGTGATACTCAACAATGTTTGTAAAAAACCCTCTAGATTATTCTGATACACTACTAAAGTTTAAAAGCCTAGGGCAGTGACCCTAGGGAATTTTTATTTTGAATAAACATAATTGCTACAGCCCTGGTACATTCAAGAAAAAATTCCCAAGTGATTAATTCTTTATGGAGTTATTTTTAAAGAAAAAAAATATCAATATTCTACAGAAGTAAAAATTCATAAGCAGGTAGACCACAATTACCAATTAGATGAAGGTTTAAATTGAAAAATATAGTCAGGAAAGCAACTGAAGACACAGGGAAAAGCATCAAGAAGTAGAATTCCTTGTACCTTCTGTGCCTATTACTCTTAGATGCTGGGAAGGTCTCTGAAATATACCTTCACCTGGGCAGGATGAACAAACCATTCTTACTGTTCCTAACCAAGTTCTTCTCTGTTACCTCCTATTGTCTCCAGTTTCCACTTAATTTCCTACATCCAATAGGATACTAAAGTGGGTCAACAGCCTATAGTTTAAACTGAGAGTCTTCATTATTAGCATTAATTGAAAATTAGAATCCTGATACATTAAAATTACTTCAGATAATTACAATTTAGAGACTGGAGACAGAGACCAGAGATAGGCAAAGATATGAGTAAGTTCAGGAAAATATTTTCTGACTCACAAAACCTTTCTACCCAGAAGTCCTCTTAGCTACATGTTATTTTTTAAATCTCGTTTCAAGAAATGAGAAATTGAGAATATGAGAAGGGTTTAAATATAGATATAAAGGAGCTAAAAAATGATTAAATCATTTTTTAAAGGTGTGACTTGTTATAAAGACTTTTTAAGGATGTACATGTGTTTGTACGTTTTCTAGCAAAGAGAGAGCAACACCCAGACACCCAGTGTGGATCTGGGGATGTTCCATAACAGCCCGTCATTTCTATTATCTCTCCTACATATTACCTTATTCATTCTAATTTCTCTGGTCCTTTAAATACTGTTCTTTTTCATCACATTCCTGTGACTCCTTTCTTATTTTAAAGATCACTTTATGATATAATAATACCCTGCAAATTAAAATCTTATAACACCTAGACCAAGCCACATAGACTGAACAACTGACTTATACTTAACCAAAGCTGCCATCAGTCTCTATAAAGCATGATTAATAAGTCCTAGGTAAGCAATAACCAAATGGTTAGACCTAATGGCAGAGCTGACCTGCGGTGACTAACTGCCCCTCAATCATCTTCCTTAAAATCAGAAAAGAAGTATGGGAACACAGATTCCAGAGGAGTAATTCTGCTCTAACTTGATAATTCAGAATGACTGGGTTTAATGATTTAATTGACTGGGTTTAAATCATTTAATTTAATGATTCAATTAAAAGTTATTCTTTAAATGTGTAACTATTTCAATGCACTGCATACCCTTCAGTGAAACAATAATCAAAACTAATAAAGAATAGGTACCAATATGTTTAATAATTATTTTGGCAGTATTTTGTTTTCACATACAAAACAATTGCACTAGGTTCTCTTTTAAAAGAACTGTGGGGGTTTTTTTTAATTAATTAATTTATTTATTGGTCACACTGTACAGCATGTGGGATCCTAGTTCCCCAACCAGGGATCGAACCTGTGCTCCCTGCTATGGAAGCGTGGAGTCTTAACCACTGGCCCGCCAGGAAAGTCCAAGAACTGTGTTTTTATTTCAAGATGACTCAAGAATATGGACATGGAAATATATATCCCACAGTCCTAAAGTCAGGGATAATAAAATAATGCATGTGCAACAGACCAAGTCAGGAAAGCATGCCAGTACAACCACAGCATGGTACTGAATAGCTCCAGGTTTTTAAAAAGGTACAGAAAGTCTAATAAACCTTGCAGTGAAGCAGTGACTAGAAGTAGAAAAGTTTTTTGAAGGCTGAGGTTCTTAAAAACAGCAGAATGGTGATGCAGAATATTCCTATAAAAAGGATATAAAAAGGAAAATGATGGCTTGTTTTACTGGCTAATCAACTTTTCTTCAAAGATTTGATGCATGAGAGGAAGGACAACTTTTACTATAATAGAGTACCTTGTGGGATCTTAATTTTTTTTTAACCAGGTAAGTATCATTTTCAATTACAAGCAATTAAATGTCTCAAAAAGTGGAAACATCAGTTCTCCTTTGCAGCAGACTTTTTTTTGTTTTTAAAATACTACCAGAATGGACCTTTTAGTTACATACGCAAATTGACTTCTTTACTGAAGAAAACTGTGAGGGTGCCCTTAAAGCTAAACACAGGTGCTTCAGGAGATGTTCAGGGTTCTGCTTAGTGATGCATATGCCATTAACAAACTACCCTCACATATGAATTCAGACTGAATTGTCTCTGAAAATTGCTTCTTGGGATATGTGTGTAGTACCTCAGCGGCATCATGAAATCAGAGTGGTGGCAGGATACTAGAAGGGACAGGGAAGGAATTCAGAAGGGAAGGCTCTTTTCTGACCTAAAGCCTCACTTTCTTCCACTCTGAAATCTGGCAAGATAGAAGATTAGAACATCTGCAGCTGGGGTCAAGCTTTTCCCTTGAAAGAAACATAATCTTATGGTCAATCATAACTGAGCAAGAAAAGAAGTGAAACAGACTGAAGAGGAGAAGAACCATCTTCCCAAGACTTAAGGTCATGGATCAAGAATAATTTGCAGGCTGTGTTAAAAAAATAAAATAAAAAACAAACAACTTGACAAGTTTTCCAAAGGTTCTATACTACTTCGGACATACACATACTTGGCAGACTTGACTAAATCACCTAAACTTGATAGCTGTTTCTTTTTTGTATTTCTTCTACAAAAAAATTAAATAACAAGGCCAAGTTCAAATATAGTTCTCTGTGAAAAATCAGGAAGAAAATAACTACATTATTTTTTTAATGTCATACAAAAGATTAAAGGAAGCTCAGTAGTAACATTTGTCTAACAGAACAGGAATTTTAATCAGATAATATGTTCTTTAATTGGGAAAAAATATTATGTAATATTTTGGCCACTTTCAAATTTCAGCTACCTCCTAACTGCTCTTTCCTGACCCACAAAATGCCTCCACTGTTTGGGTGTTTAGAAAAGTGCCTAACATTCTATGGGAACAAAAGGATATATATGCAAACAAGGTTTTGTTGGTAGACAGAAATACCTAGGTAATTAATGTATGAGAAGTTATATGAATTTTCAACCATATTCTTCACGTGACAATGTGTTTCAAGGAGGGAAAAATATTGTTTCTATTGTATTATAAGAGAGGACTCTGGGGCTTCCCTGGTGGCGCAGTGGTTGAGAGTCCGCCTGCCAATGCAGGGGACACGGGTTTGTGCCCAGGTCCGGAAAGATCCCACATGCCGCGGAGCGGCTGGGCCCATGAGCCATGGCCACTGAGCCTGCGCTCCGCAATAGGAGAGGCCACAACAGTGAGAGGCCCGCGTACCAGAGAGGACTCTGAAATCCTGATTTACATTTGATGTGCAGCAAACTGTTTTATACATGTTAAGAAAGTAAAGTTCATTTTCTGGTGCCTGGTTATAGTAAGCAAAGTTTATCAATGCTCTGGTTATTACTCCCACAGATGCCCTGAACACCTTAAGCCTCAGGCGTACTGTTACCCAACCAGAGCTGATCTACAGTCAGCTTTTCTCACCTGGTCCCAGAAGACCAAACACTGCCCTCTACAGATTCATGCTGTATCTTCAACAACAGGTCTGGCAATCCTATATGGATCACTTACACTACTCCCCATAATGACAGCAAGGATAATTCTAAATTTTCTTTTCACAGGCTTTAATTCCTAATTACTCTGAACATAACAGTTCAATTACTTCCACTTCTAAGATCGAAGCCATAAGATGCAAATGTTAAAACTGGTTTAAAAAAAATACAAACAGAAAATATCTGAGGGACCAGTGCCCTGAAAGTGGTAAAAAAAATTTTTTTAAGAAAAAAATTAGAAAAGAAATTGAGATACTATAACTTAGTAATATCAAGTGGATTAAAATTGAACTAAATAGATGCTTTCTGACCTACTGAAGACCTACTTATAAAAGGCAAGTGGATGTAGCTAATATGCTACAGTAAGTATGTATGTAAATATAGACAGCAGACATTTTAGAAGGATACGTGAAAGCCATTAATAGTGAGGACAGCTCTTTTACTTTCTGCTTTATATTCACTGATCCTACATCACTTTTTCTCCCTACAATGGATAAATACTATTTTTATAAAGGATTCTAACCCAGGTCTGATGAACTGCAAAGTAGTTCAAACTAGTTATCTAAGAAATTAATATGTTTCTGTCAATGAATATTAACTTTACAAGGAATTATCTACCTCCACCTATCATCATTCTTATTTTGTACCTTTCTATATACTGAGACAAACAAAATGGGGAAGGGGAAAAAGAGGCGTGGGACAAAGAGAGGGGAACGAGGGAGGGGCAGTCAGGGATGGAGAGAGAGAGAGGGATGAGAGAAGGAGAGAACTGGTAGGTAGAGAAAAAGATTGTCTTTGTCTAGGTGTCTGCCGGAGTCAGCTCTGACTTCTAAGGAAAAAAAAATTGTAACGAAAATGAAGGTATCAAGAATACAAATATTAAAACCCAGGTAATTAGATGGTGAAGTGCGAAACATGTATCACTTATGGTCCTAGAAAAGAAGTATCTCTGAAAAACAATTTAAAAAGCTACTCTTGGGTGATCTGATTACTACTTA